TTGTGGCTGGTGCTTGTGGTGTCATCGGGGCTGATAGGTAAGCCCTGGTCCTCCAGCAGGGAGTCAGGGCCCCTCCTGCTACGCGCGGGCAGCCTTTGGAGGGGCAGTGAAAGGCGCTTGTACTTGAGGTAAAATGAACCAGGTCAGGAAGAAGTAGGAAGCCGCCAGTGAGCAAAGCCATATGAAGGACAGTTCAAGGTCAGGGGTAGGGGCCCGGTGGCAGTTTCCTCCCTGTCCATCCTGCTGGCCTGGCTGGTGGGGCTTAGTTCTAGGGGCCTGAGGGGCTGGGCAGCAGGAGGGGCTTTGAAAGGCCCCATCTTGACAGGAGGGGGGAACTTCAAACTTTTAAACAGAGCAAGGAAGGGGGGCGCAAGCAAGTGGGGGTGGTGACAGCAAGGGAGCGGAGGGACATGCGAGGAAGAAGGGAAAAGAGGGACATCCAGGCTGGGGACAGGGTGAGAACAGATGTTGGGAAAAAAAAGGGCTTTTCCAAACTCTCAAGCATGGAGCCGACACCCACCACGGGCACTCTTAGGCTCCAGTCTGTGGCCCCCACGGGTGCCCCGAGGGTACTTGGAGTGGGGGCTGGCCTTGGGAATAATCTCAGACTCAGATACATGTACACATGTGCTGAGTCTCTTTACACACATTACCTCATTTACTCCTTTCAGCCTTTCTGCGGGTATTTATTTTCCCTACTTCATACGTGAGGACATGGAGAGTCTCAGAGCCAAAATAATTTGCCAAAGACCCCATTACAGACAAGGAAGAGACCAAATTGGGACTCTTGTATCCTGTTCCCTAGTGTGGTGGCTCCTTCTGTTATGACTCAGCTATAAACTGATTCGCAAAGCGACCCTACGTGATTCATGGAGGTCACTCAAAGTCAGGGCCAGCTGTGCGTAGGATGTCGTGCAGGGAGGCTGGCTACTTTGGAGCGTGGTCCATTGACCAGGAGCATCAGCAGCCCCTGGGAGCTGGTTAGAAATGCAGAGTCTCAGGCACTGCCCCAGACCTGCTGGATTAGAATCTGCATTTTTAACAAGCCCCTTGGGCGATCTGTATGTTCATAAGAGTTCAGGAAACATCTGTCTAGGGCTATCGCTTCAGACTTTCAAGAGGCATTTTCACCATTAGCAATAAGGATAGCTGGAGGCTCAGGCTCCTGGTCCAACCACAGACAGCTCCAAACATCTCAAAAATATCATCTGACCAGAAAAGCTTATAACTGCTTTGCTTATCAGCCAACGGCTGACCTCACAACCTCTGGCAAGACAAAATGTTCTGCTGCCCCAATGAGATCAATAGTACATTTCTGGTGATGCACTCGTTACCATTGCTGACATATATTATGTAAAACTGCCCCTCTTGTTTCCGCGTCTTTGGTTTCTTTGAATTTCTGAACTGCCTTGATCCTAGAGCACTTGGATGCTTATGCAGCAACCTGGACATCTCTCCCTTGAAGTCCCCGGGGCCCCTCGTGGTGGCCTTGGCTCGTGCCCTCGGCTCAGAGATAAGACAGCTGGGTCCCACCTCCCATTCTCTAGGCGATTTCGGGATCCAGCGCTGGCTGAGTCCTTCCTGTCTTCTCTTCTTTGAGGATTTTCTGGACTTGACTGTCCTTTTTGGACCTTCTCTCCCAACATTGCTGGACTCAGAGACTGCTAGGAGACAAAAGGCACCTGGCTCAGAATATATGCCAATGGTGCTAAGCAGAATCTTCCATCCCTCTCCATGATGGGGTTGGGACTAAGGAAATGTGGCAGCTCAGGACCCAGGATGAGACCCAAGGGGTCAGCTAAGGAAGGTAGAGGTTGGGAGAGAACAGCGCTGAAAACCCAGGGCTCGAGGGGCAAACAGAACCAAGATAGGATCCGGCTCTGCCTCTGATTTGCTGGATGACTTTGGGTCAATTACTTACCCACTCTGAGTTTCCCTGGCCTCATGGATAAAATGGGGATGATCCCAACCTCTGGAGGTTGAATTAAATATATGTCAAATACTGGATGTGCCAGGCCTGTCACATATGGACACTCAATAAAAGGGGGCTTGTATTTTGACTATAGAGTCAGTCATTGAGGGATAGAGCTCCCCACAAATGTCATGAATCTTCCAATTTTTAAAACACAAACACACACATGCACAATCATGTTTTCCTGCATAAAATTCAATGAAGGATAACTGAAAAATTAAAAGGCAAATGACTCCTTCAGATACTTATTTTTTTAATTTAAATTCAATTAGCCAACATACAGTACATCATTAGTTTCAGAGGTAGAGCTCAATAATTCATCAGTTGCATATAATACCCAGCGCTCATCACATCCTGTGCCCTCCTTCATGCAATACTTAGTGACCCACAGGCCAAATCTACCCATGGCTGATGTTTTATGGCCCACACACCAAGAATAAATTGTATGCTTTTAAAAAGAATCTGGATCAGAGAACCATCCTGGGAACAGCCCCCCTTATCAAGCGCCTACTGTGTCCAGTGGCCGTCCCAAGTGACCCTGTTTACTCTTCCCAATCAATACACCCAGGGAGACACCCATCATTGTCCCATTTTACAGATGAGCAAACAGAGACTTGGTAAGCATAAAGAATCGGACCAGAGTCACCAAACTAATGAGTGGCTATGCCTGGGTTGAGTGCCACTGCTCTAAACTAATCCCTCTACTGCGAACCTTCTGAATGGGTTTGGCAAGAGTCAAAACCAAGAAAGGAAAATCCTCAAATGCCAAGGATGCACTCCACAGCCTGGAGTGGCGGGGGATCCATGCTGGAGGCCCCGTCAGGGAGGCTGAAGTAAGCTAAGTCAGGAGTGACAAAGGTCTACATCAACATAGGAGAGACCTGTTAGGCTGCCACCATCTACAGTTCTGTAGGTTGTGCACTGCACAAAGAAGATGAGCAGAGGCTCAAAGCCAACCCACTCTCTTCTGGCCAAATGTGTTCCCTGGTGCAAGACTGTATCTGTCCAAAGCCCTTTTCTTCTTACGAGGAGATCACCTGTTCCCTGCGCTGTGCGGCTGCATCCACCCAGCAGGTGCACCTCTCTCTAATTGCATAGAGACTCCATGTAGGCTAGCAATATCCCAACTGTGTCTGAGGATTGGAGGGAGCCAGGCCTGAGTGGTCTTGGGGATGGAGGAGTCTTCACCTTTAAAGCACATAGAAAGAAAAAAGCAAATGTCACCCACCCCTGAGGTTTTACAGATGGGGAGTCTCAGGCTCCAGGAGGCAGGCTGACTTGCCCAGTGGAGGTAACTTGTTAGTGGCATGATTTGGAGTAGAACTGACCCTCAGGTTTGGCAATCTCTGAGGGCGTCTCTCAAAATGCAGCAACCAGGACAAGGGGAGCTGGGCATGTGGCTACAGGATGGTGCCATGTCTTTATAACTTCTTGGCAAAGCAAATTCTTTATAAATGGTCATCGTATTGTTGATAACGATATTCGGTACATACCTGGTGGGAAAAAAATTGCAGCAAAAGCAGCAACAAATTGGGGCAATTTCCTAGTTAACATCTGTTTTCCAATAGCGTGCTACATTTCAAAGGTTTTTTCTCAAGCATGTCAGGACCTAGGGGTAACGTACATTGAGGGAAGGGGAAGGAGGAGGTATTTACTTCCAAAATGCCGAGACTGGGCTGTGCCCTCTTGCTGGCACTTGCCTACACAGGTGCCTGGCATGTACAAGGTCGTCGAGCTTTACGCTGAAGGTCAAAGCCCTCTCCAGAAGTTGTTCCCTATAAAAGAGGCACATGTCCTTTCAGGTGTCTCTCCACCACGGGCCATCCACAGGCCTCGTCCAATTTCAGCCTCATGTTACTCCTGTGAAGGCCGATTACTGGGGTCACAGAGCAGGGAGCTCCGGTCCATCACCTGTCAGCACAAACTAACACTGTCTCCTGGACAGGCCCCATCTTCACTGGAATGTGGTTCCTTCATGCTAAATCAGATGACGTGGGATCGTCTGTCACCCATTGGTCACGACGGAGGCGGTGCGGCGCGTCCTGCCTGGCCCCTGGCCCTGCTTAGCCTGCGCATCACGCTAATTGAGGTGGATGCCTTTGTGCGCTGATGAATTGAACAACAGGCCCGCTGTGGGGATGTCAGCGTGGCCTCCATCTGGAGAGCGTCCGGGCCCCACATGTCCTGTGCCAGGCCCCTCCTCGGCGGAGGGAGCTTGGGCATGTCCCTCCTGGGGGTGTGAAATGTTCCATTGCAAACCCGGGCTAAACAGTCATCAGACTATTTTAAACCCCCACTGGAAGGAGGGCCAGGCCCACTATTTCCTTGCTACTTGAGATGGCTTCCTCTTAAACCTGGAAAATACAGCATATGTGTCCGTGTGTGTGTAAGAGAGAGAGAGAGAGAATGTAGAAGGTAAACACCTCAAATTTCTTTTCTCTTGGAGCCTGTCTGCTTCCTTTTTCTCCTGTGTTGTGAGCCTGGGCAAAGGACACGGACAAAGGTGTATTCATTAAAAATGCTTCTTGAGTAGCTAATTTGTGCAGGACTCTGGAAGAACTGGCATGATGAGCCCAGAAATGTGGGCAGAGCCGTGCACTCCTCATGACTGTCAGGCCTTTGCCTGTCCCCACCTTGGGCTCATTGTGGGTGTTAGCAAAATGCTGGCTGAACCGAGCTGAGCCCAGAAAAGCTAAAAGATCATCCCTGTCAGCTCTGTCCCCCTGGAGATCCAGCCAGGCACACACAGGTCTAACCAAGTCAAATCCCAAGTCGTCACGTCATTATTGCATGCTTGTTATGCACCCCAAAATACACTATTGCATTGTTCACTCGTTTATCCAGCGGAGTGTTTATCTACGAAATTTCTGTGCTTGGCAGAGACCATGAGCGGCCCCAGGGCAGTGACGAAGAGGTGAACCCAGAATCTTTCCCCTTACATGACCCGGGAGGAGGAGAGACACATACCGTGATAAATATAACACAGTGTGCTCACTCCCAGGGCTCGTGCAAGTGCGGGAGGGACACATCGGGTGGGAGGCACCTGGTTCATGTTGCAAACTAATCTCAGCTCAAGTTCAGCAGTTCAGAAGGCGGAAGGGAAGAAAGCGGGCATTAGCTAAACTCCTCTTGGTTCCTGGCATGGATATGTTTCCCACACAATGCCAAGCATGCTTCCTGAGACCCTTATGAAGAGTTTCTTCCCCTCGGTCTGCAGATAAGAACACAGAGGACCCGAGGTGAAGAGGACTTGTTCAAGGTCATAGAACTGGAATGTTGATAAGGGTTTGCACCGGCAGAGGCGCGGAGGGTGGGAAGGGGTCGGTAGGGTTGGGGAGGTCGGCTGGGTAGCACATTTCACAAAGAGGTTGCCCTTTGTCAACCCCGGGGGGGCCACAGCTGAGCCGTGCTGAGTCTTAACTAGCAGCGAGTACAAGTGTACAGCATGGACTCTAGCAGAGCCAGAGGCCTGAACGGTAATCGCAATCCCATGTCACCAGCTGTGTGACAGGGGGTGAGTTACTTAACTTCTCTGAGCCTCATTTGTCTCATCTGTGACCTAGAGACTATTCACACCGGTACCGATCTCCCAGGGCTGCTGGAGGGACAGAATGAGTTGCACACATTACCCTGCATTGAGCAGTGCCCAGAAAGGCAGAAACACATAATATATGTTAACAATTCTACTGGATAGACAGCACCTAGCACAGTTTCTGGTGCTAAGAGATGCTTAACAAATGATCATTATTTTTATCTCGTGTTTTGTCAAGATTATCCAATATTGTCGTTGCTTCATTGACCTGTGTCACGATCAGGTAAAGAAGGGAGTATTTGTCAGCAACTGATGCCATCTTGAGGCAGGGGCATTGTTTATAAATTGGGAATGAAGCCCTTTTTTGACAACTGAGAAGGCAGGGAACAAAGAGAACGCACTTTCTTGACTCTCCACGGGTTTCTGTTTCCAGCCGTGTGGCCCTGACATGAGGGGGTGCACAGCCATTTACGGACAATGCCCACGAAGGGTGCATGAGGCTCTCACTCTGTGGTGGGCATGGAGATGGTTAAGAGTTTCTTCCTCTAAAGCGTTGCCTGAAAAGTACCCCAATGTCACTGCAAAAGCTAGATGTTTCTTTTGGCTCTACCATCCACCCATTGTGTAACCTTGGATGCCTGCCTTGCCTGTTCATTAGCTGATCTGATCTTCATAATATCCCATTTAATAAATGGAAAAGCGATAGAAAGAGACCTGCCCCAAATTAGAGACCATTAGCCTAAGCATAAACTAGGAACGAAGAACATACAGTAGACTGGGAGCTCCTGGCTGGATCTGGATGTCGTTGAGAGGATTCAACAGCTCTGCAGGCAGGTGTATCAGACAGCCCCGCCCTCCAGCACCCACCCCAGCTCCTCACAGCCTCCCTCAAGGGGTCCAACCTTGACCTTGGACAACTTTCCCACCCCACCCTGCAGGGTTCCAGCCCCTCCCACAGTGACAGGCTTCCCCTTCACCCTGGGGGGTTCTCTGTTGCTCCTGAGACGTGATTCCTGGAGCCTGGGCATGACCCGCATCCGTGGCCGGGGACCCATGAAGCCAGATCTCTGATGGATGGGAAGTGGGAGCCTGTGAACCTGCTCCCTTCCCTCTCCCTCCCCATCACCCCACAGTCTGCTCCCTGGTGCAGAAGTTCCTGAGCCTCTTAGGGACAGTCCCTGAGATAGAACAATACCAAGTGAAGCCCCGGGTATCACACCCTCCAGGGTGTTCCCCTCCCTCCCCATGTGCCTCCCCCTTCGCTCTCCAGCTTCTTTGGAATTCTTCTCTCAGTAAAGTAATAACAAGGAAGCTTTTGCTTCCCTAGCCTTTGCTCAGTGGGATTCTAAGAGAAAGTAACTTCCCTCTCATTATTATTAATTAGGATAGCTAGGAGGCAGGAGGAAGGGAGGAAGGAGGAGGCAGAGCATGACAGAGAGGGAGAGAGGAGGTGCCCTTGGCTGGAGGTGGGTATTAAAGAAGCATCAGGAGCATTCCAGCAATTGGCCGCAGTGGTCCAGTGCACAGACTTGACGGCAGACCAAGGACGACTGCCAGGGTTTGCATCCCTCTTCCGTTAGTTACAAGCCTGTCACCGGGCAATTCTCTGAACCTTCTGTTTCCTCATCTGGAAAGTGCAGATGACAATGATTCCTACGTCATAGGGTTTCTGCAAATATTAAGCTTACTGGTATTTGTGGAACACTTAGCACATTGTCTGATACATTATAAGTATTATTTATGTGCTTAGTAAACATACAAGTCAACTAACTCTCCTGTGACCTTGTAGGCAGGACTCTGAGGAAGTGAGTGAGTTTCTCTGGGCCACAGTTTCTTTAGCAATAAAAGGAAAGGTTTGAATTGATAAAGGGCTCCTCTAGTTCTGAGCCTCTCTTTTCTAAAGAGAACCCGGGCGCTAATGTGAATCGTTGCGGGTCAGGGATGGTCCTGAGATCTTATATAAATGGTCTTAAGATTTATATAAATTATGCCATAATTAATCCTCACAAGAGGTCTGTGAGGTTGTGGTGAGTTCCCTGTATTTTACAGATGAGAAAGGGAAGGCTCAGAGAGGTTAAGTAACTTGTACGTGGTTACAGAGTGAGCTGTGGGATCCTGTTGCAGGGACAAAGTACGGCTGTAGAGACCTAAGCTTCGGGGCTCAAGATGCGACTCCAGGGCTAGATGCATTCCTGGCAACTTAGAGATTATTGAATAGGTGTCATTCTGTGTGCTCGAAGCTTCCTGCCGCTGCCCGGTGGCCTGGGCCGCTGTGGGAGGGGTGCATTGGTGTGCACGCTGTGACAGTGGGTCTCCTAGGGAACGGAGCGCATTGGGATTAGAGCTCCAGGGTCTGTTTCTCTGTCTGCCGGATCACACTGGAGCTGGCAAACGGTAGGTGCCCAGCATAGGTTGGCACATGGCTATTTCAGCTTTCCCAGAAATTTGGGATAGATGAAGGTTTGGTTTGGCTTTTTAAAATTTTTTCCAAGCTATTACCTGTCCATAAAACACTTCATATCATCTTAAACTATTGCATAAAATAAACAAGGTAAGATTTCTTTCATCACCTTCCTAGATGAATGGCGATGGGAGAAACTCAGAGCCTGTGACTTCCTCTGTAGGCTTCAAGGGGTCAGGCTGAGACATTGTCAGGCTGTGGGTGGCAGGGGAGTGCAGAGAGGAGCCATGCACCCAGGAATCCTCCCCCTGCCTGGGGGTCTCATGTCTGGGGAAGTCCAAACATTTCCCTTCTGTCCAAGCTAACAGCATTTGCCGTGAGTTTATTTTGATGTTGTCACACTGTCCCCAGAGAGTGGCACTGACATGTTTTCTTTTCGTCTTGGTATCACAGGACCAGATTTATTGCTCATGGGTATCAGAATCAGCTCATTTTGACACCAAACCCTGGCATCTACAGATTGCAAGTAACGCATTTCTGCTTCTTGGGGAAGCTCAGACAGCTTCTCATGGTGGGGCGATCAGAACATGACAACCCATCTGTTCGGGGGAGATCACTTCATTTAAGGGCATGGTAGTCTTGGACCGAGAGATCTGCAGGTAGATACATGGATGGGTGTATTCTATTTAATACATATATTTTCTTAAGCTTCTTCATGTTAAGCCCTGGAAACCTAGCAGGGAAAGAGGAAGACAATCTCTGCCTTCATCATGCATTTTTAAAGGGAAATGCAGAAAATGAACTAGTGCTTTCCCCCAAAACCAATGTTCAGTTGGGATTATGCCCTAACAGCTGGGCACAGGGAAGGGCGCATCAGAGGATAGCGTGGTCTGGGGAAGAACATCAGAGAAAGATAGCGTGGTCTGGGGAAGACCACATATAGTAAATGTTCCAGATCACCAGCTCTGGGTCAGGGACAAGGCGGGGTGAGCACAAAATGGTGGGAGCGACACATACCCTGCCTACAAGACAGTCACATCTGTTGAGTGCAAAAGGGAGATTATGTGTAAGGTACAATGCGCACGGTGGGGAGGGATTCGAGAACATGCCTGGGAAAACCAGGGGCTGTTGCAGGGAAGACAGTGTGCCATCTGCAGCTTGAAGCCAAGCAGTTAGGGCTGGCTGGACAAGATGGCAAGAAGGCAATACACAAAAATATGGAGGGATGAGAGAACATAGAATACACAGGATGCAACAGGAGTCTGGTGCTTAGGAAACAAAATACGACCAGGAGAGGAGAGAAGGGGCAGGATTTGGGATGGGGAGGCAGCCAAGGGCAGTCCAGGGAGGTCTGCATGTCCTGCTGAAGTGGAATCACTTATATCCTGCAGATGAGGGGGGATCACAGAAGAACACCTTGAGTGCGTCAATGGGATGTCCAGGTAGTCCTGAGATGCTTCTGCTAATGGTAATCTTCTCCCCCTCCTCCTCCTCCCCCCTCTCGTTCTCCTCTTCCCTCCCCACCTCCTCCCTCCTCCTCCTTTCTCCTTTTTCAATTGACCCTTGCTGAATATATTGTAAAATTATGAGTTTATTCCTTTGTCTTAACGGGAAGAGATTCTTGTGAACATCCCAAATATGTTTGCATATTTGTCCAGAGTTTGAGGTCATTATTCAGCACATAACCCTTAGGGCCAGGACTGCAGGTGTAAACAGAGAAAAAATATCAGAGCGCACAGACTGAGGAGCCCTTGGCGTGACTGGATCCGATGGGTCTCCAGCTGTGTCCACGATCCACGGAGGGGATCTTAAGCTGCTGTAGCAGGTAAAGGAGGTCCAAGGGTCCCCTTCCCCTGCATTGAGGATATCTTTTTTTTATACCAGGGTTGTCTCAGCCAGAAAATGTTGCTTGCAAGGAACAGAAACAGTTCACAGTTAAAAAAGTAAGGAGGGCAAATGGAATTCAATGGAAAAATGTAGGTTCATTCTACATAAATGAAAGGAAAGCTCAACAACAACAATAATAAACATATATTGAGCACCTACTATCTGTCTGTCACTATTCAAGAGCTTTACATTAACGTATGTAAGCTTTAGAACAATACTAAATATGAAAGTGGACACTATTATAATGCTGATTTTATAGCTCAGAAAACTGAGATTCAGAGAGGTTAAGTAATAAACCCAAGGTCACACAGCTAGGTAACATCTTAGCCACGATGTGAACACACAAAATCTGGTTTCTGAGTCAATGCTTTTGACCCCTATGCTGAAAAACAAGAAGCAGGAAGGTAACGTCTAGTGCTCTAGGTGGAGAGAAGCAAAGAATGATCTCTTCAGGGACGTGGCATGCATGACAGGCTTAGTGTGGGATGCCTGCCACCTTGTAACTGAGGAAGGGGAGGGTCTCATGGCTGGAAGCTCCCCCAAACTACTTGGAATGGGGGAGAGCCATTTCTCAGAACAAAGGCCAACAGGGGGTTCCACAGAAGATTAAGTGTGAAGCAATAAACAACAACAAAAAAGAGTTCAACTACAAAAAGAAAAAAAAAAGAAATTATCCTTAGAGCCCTCTTATTTTGTATATGAATAAATAAAAACAGGAAAAAGTTGAAGTTGGCATTGTGAGTTGTTTATTATTATTATATTATTACTGTACATTGAAAATGTTTTAATATGAAAATCATTAAAAAACCCATTTTGGGGGGTGCCTAGCTGGCTCAATGGGAAGAGTTTGCAGCTCTTGATCTTGAGGTCATGAGTTCCAGCCCTAAGTTGGGTATAGATTACTTAAATAAATAAACTGAAAAAAAATTAACAAAAAAAATTTTTTCTTTAGGTCTTTGAATTCAACCTACAAATCTCTTTTAACATAGACTATATTTTAACAATTACTTTCAAGGAGTCTCTTGTTCAGTGTTTAAAGAACCCTAAATAGCTTCAAAGGACTGGCCCAGATAAAAGCTCTATTCATTAAATCCCCTCCATTGTTTAAACTGATGTTGCAAAAGCCTGCCTAAGTATTTAAATCATCTAGTGAAGTTATAATTCAACTTATAACTAAGTTTGAAGACTCTCTGATTCTTCTAAACAATCAAACATGGTAAACTTCCTAATTAAAAAAAAAAAAAACTTTTCCAATGGAAATTTACAAGTCTAAATTACACCACAGTTCAGTTACATTTTAAATCGGCATTATCAGGCTAATTGGACTCTAATGTATCAAAACATTTTCCTTTTCTTTTTATTATAAAGCAGACTTCAAATACCAAACATATGCTGGTCTCCCCACAGACCTTACTTCTGGGATTTCCTTTCCCTTCACTCTGTTTAACACATTCTAAACTTTTGCCAGGGTGGAACGTGGTCAGCACTAGGAGAATAAACAAGTTGTTTCAACATCACAAGCAAGGACTGACGTAAACTTATGAACTTATCGATCAGAGACTTCTGGCCAGAACACAGGGTCTGAGGGACAAGGACAATTTTTTTTCGTCGAGACAGTTGGCATGTTCAGGCTTTTTCTAGTTACTATGGCAACAAGCTACTCCAAGTCCACACTGTGCACCTGGGATTTGTTTCTGCACTCTTGCCCCTGCATCTAGGTTGAGTGCTCTAACCCCTTCTAACCTTGCAGCACGGACTGCTAATTGTCCCCAAATATCCATTTCCCACAGCATGCATTCCCAGGATAAGGACTACATTTACCAGTGTCCCTTGCAGCTAGGCAGCTGGGAGTGGCCTTGGGAATGAGATCCTAAGTGGAAATGGTGTGGGCAATCTGTAGGAAAATGTCCTTAAAGGTAAAGTGCATGTTCTTATCTCCTTCCAAATGACTGGAACAAAGATTTGATGTCTGGAGCTGGAGCAGCCAACGTGGACTGGGAAGTCCCTTGGGGCTGGATGGTGCGCCCTGCTGTAGAACCAGAAGGATGGAGCCTGGGTTCCTGACACTATAGAATGCCATGCCAACCTTGTGTCCCAGGACTTAGAAAAAGGAAAGATTAACTTCTACCTGATTAAGCCACTGTGATTTGGGGTTTTCTGCTGTTGAACCTAATCCTAATTGCTACAGACACTTCCGCCTGATTTGCACAGGTGAAATTCCGAATTCTTCCCCAGAGAACAGGATTCTTCGACAGTCAGCTATTTTACTGCCTGATGGAATCACCGTGTCTGGTTATAGACTACAGTCCTAAGGCACCCCAATGACTTACAGGATTTTACCAAACTGACACCCCAAATCAGTAGCAGATGTCGCATCTCTTAAAACAGGCTATAGCTCCCAACACAACATCAAGGTAAATTTAGCTGCCTCCAGAATCATTACATGCAGATCATTAAATGCAAGAAGCTAACATTAATTTATATGTTATGAGTTTGCAGTTCGAAATATATAACTGAACACCAAAATATCTAGTACATCAATACACATGAAAATAGCAATAGTTAGCTTACTGTGTGCACTTACTATGTGCGTGGTTGTCTAAGAACCACCTTATTTAACTTCTCCAACATCCTAGAGGGGAAAGTCTGTCATTATTCTCATTTGAGACATAAGGAAGCCACAGCCACATGTTTTGCCCAAGCTCAGATGTGCAGCCGCATTCCGCAATCCACTACGTGTTAGAGGTACTCCTGCCTGGGTGCAGTCTCCGTACGGTTTTAATGAGCAAGAGAGAAGAGAACAAAAAGATGCTTGCAGGTTCAGTCTCAAGGCAAGTTAGCCTATTCGACTACCGAAAAATACAGAGAAATTATTTCAGGGCTTCTTTGCAATTTCTCAACAGTATATAAGGTTGTCATCTTTATTCTTTTTAAATATGGAAATCCTCTATCCAAAATTTGGATATAGGCTTGGTTTCTACTGAGCAAAAGTAACTTGCTCTCCTTCGGGGGAGGGGGGGTGCGGAGGCAAATTCAAAATTGTAAGGCCAACTCCATGGGCATGTAGTTTAGAAAAGAGAGAATTACAGGGCTTTCTTCCCCCCAGAGAGTTGCTGTTGGTCTGGCAGAGCCCTGGTATTTGGCAACTCCCACACTGGGTACTTTTCCATTCTCATCTATAAAACATTTGCAGGAATGTTGACAAGTATAATATGCATAAGAAAGATACTTAAATTAATAATGGCCATCATTTATTGAATGCTTACTAAGTATCTGGCACAGAGCTAATAATTTTCATATATAATCTTTCTCCTTAAAATGACTCTGAGAGGGCGCCTGGGTGGCTCAGTTGGTTGGGCGACTGCCTTCGGCTCAGGTCATGATCCCGGAGTCCTGGGATCGAGTCCCACATCGGGCTCCTGGCTCAGCGGGGAGCCTGCTTCTCCCTCTGACCCTATCCCATCTCATGCTGTTTCTCTCTCTCTCTCTCTCAAATAAATAAATAAATA